ATATCAATTTCTTAAACGTTGATGATGGTAAAACTTTAATAAATAGATGTACAAGATTATCACTAAACCATACGTGCTTTACTTCAATTTCACGACACTATTGGACTTCATGAGTATAAAATATTTTTTGGCGAAATATGTTTGGCTCTATCGCATTTGATAAAGCTTCATTTGATTTGTGCAATGCAAGCAAAGTTATTTTCATTTAACATTGTTGGTGAGTATATAATCAGAGGTAGTTTAAAAGTATCTCGGATATGATGGACAATAAACCTTTGCCACACATATTCATGACTCACTCCATAGAGTACAAGTATCTCAGAATGAGTGATGGATGTAGCAATCAAAGTCTGTTTGGTAGATCATTGTGTCCTCACATGTAAATATATACTTAGTTTGTGAATGAGCCTTGTGAGGGTCCGATAGATATCCAAAATCTGCATATCCGACTAAATGTGGATCATTGACTAATTGCTTTAAGTATAACGAACCAAAATCTATAGTTCCATGAATGTAGCGTAAGAAATGTTTTATGTCATTTCAATGTTGTTGAGTTGGTACAGAACTAAATCTTGCCAGCAAGTTGACCACAAAAGTTATATCATGCTTAATACATTATGCTAAATATAATAGAGCACATATTACACTTAGGTATAGTACTTCAAGACAAAAAATCATTTCATTATGTTCTTTAGGACGAAGTGGATATCCTTGTTGATATTGAGGGTTTGGACGATCATTTGAGTACTCAACGGATATATTTTATCCATATTAAACCATTTTATGATTTTTTGGTATAGGTTGTTTGATGGATAAAAATTCTGTTTGATGTATGCTCGATCTGCAGGTCGAGAGATATCTTTAATCTCAAATTTCTTTCTCAAATATTCAGCATTTTTTGTCGACTCTTTAGAAGTTTCAATTAGATTCATATCATCAACATATACTACAATGATGACAAATTCAAATTCTGAATTTTTAATAAATATGCATGGGCATATAAGATTGTTAACATACATTTCTTTTACCAAATACTCACTAAGACAATTATACAACATTTTTCTGGATTGTTTCAATACATACAAAGATTGTCTCGGCTTAATTGAGTACATGTTTTGTAGTTTTAATGTGTTTGCTTTAGACAATTGCAATCCTTCAACAACTTTCATATAAATATAAATATTTAATTTTTCATACAAATGCGCAGTAACAATGTCCATAAGACGTATATCTAGTCCTTCTGAGATTGCTAGACTAATAAAATATCAAAATGTAATTTCATCAATTATAGGTGAATATATTTATTTATAATCAATCATGTGTCTTTGTAGGAACACTACAACAAAAATCGTTTTTTGCGACAATTTTTTTGTCGCTAAATTTAAAAAATCGTCGCCAATTATTTTTTGCAACGTTTTTTTTCGTCGCAAAAAATATTTTACAAAATTTTTTTTGTCTCAAAAAAAATTTATTCGCGACGAAAAAAATACGTCGCAAAAAATAACAAAAACGTAGCTAAAATCCATTCCCCAAGCATAAGAAAGTAAAAAATAATAATTTAATATATGTTTTGTGACGTAAAAAAATTGTCACAAATAATTTTTTACATAAATAAAAATTATAAAAAATAATAATTTAATTAATTTTTCACGACGTAAACAGTATCACCGTGAATAATTTTTTACATAAATAAAAAATGTTAACAATAATAATTTAATTCATTTTTCGCGACGTAAACAAATCTTCGCGAATAATTTTTTTCATAAATCAAAAATATAAAAAATAATAATTTAATTAACTTTTAACGACGAAAACAAATCGTCGCGAATAATTTGTTCATAAATAAAAAATGTTAAAAATAATAATTTAATTAGCTTTTCGCGACGTAAAATTATCGTCGCAAAAAACTTGTTCTTGCAATTTTTTGTGACGATTTTTATTTCGTCGCAAAAAAATTTATTTATTTTTATTTTACATCAAAAATGATATCTCAATAAAACTTTTCACCAGTACACCAATAATACATGTGTTCAATAAAAAACCAACACAATTAATACATTGCACATCTTTTTTTAAAAAAACAAAATTTTATTTCAAAAAAGAATGAATTACAATAATCAAATTACAAGAAATTCTAAAAATAGAAAAAATAGTTTTTGTCCACAACACAGCTCATCTACAGAAATAGCTAACAAACACAATTTGCAGCTTAGTTCTGCACAATTTGACCCCTGCCATTAGCTCAGCAACTCTGATCACTGCATCATCAGACAGCCTGTAAAGGACCTAAAGCAAGAGGAATAGATCCACTTGTAGCGTAGCTCCTATTATGGTTGTCCATTGCAGCTCTCAACTCAACAGCTTAGCAACATAGCAAAAACCAGTTATTCAGCAACCGAAGCAGCCCCTAACCTGGAATCCAGGAATTGCAGCAGCACAGCTCAGCTCACAAATTAGCTCAACAAATTTGATCCTACATCCATCCACTTCTTTCTACTCAACCAGAATACAGCCTGCGAACCAGTGCGGGTAGAATACACCAATGCATTCAAATACATCATCTTAGAAGTATTATCCACCCAGCAAAGCTGGCTTTAATCCTTCAAATAGGCAAAGCCAAATAAACCTACTCAAATAGCTCCTGCTCAAGTACTAGTATTAATCATGAATGATAAAAATCAGAACATAAAGTTTACTCGCATACCAGTGTAAATATTGTGTGACTACGGCTCCTCAATAGATTACTCAATAGATTACGGTTATTCAAATTCAACATTACGGTGCTCTGCCATCATCAGCATGGATGCTTGTACTAGCTTTCTTTTTTCTGACAAGTTATGTGCTTGTGCTAAATAAGTTGCTTATTTGTTTTGATGAATCAATTACATTTAGTAAATGGAATTAAAATATACATGACCTTTGTTCGACAGTAATAAATATCATTCAAGGCCCTAAAATAATAAGTTATGTCTCTATTTTAAAACCTAATGTTTCATGGGTTTGCACCGAAAAATACTTGCTTGCCTAACTACACCGAAAAAGATGAAAGCAGCAGGTAGGAGGTTCCAATGGTGAGCTGAACCGGACTGTTGCAGCAGCTGAACAGTCACGTGAACAGTGATTGTTCCAGCTGCTACAACCAATTAAAAGGCCGACGGAGTTGCACCAAAAAAAAGCCTATCTGATACAACAGCTGATCCTAACAAAGTTAACACAACCAGTTTGTCCTTATTTATTCATGTTATGTGTATCTATCAAACAATTTTTTACCTGTTAGGGAGACCTTCCATAGATCTCCAGTGGATTTTTTGATTTGGGATAGGCTGCAAAACGATAAAATAAACAAATGGAAACTCAGCACAAAAAAATTTAACAAAAAATCACCATATCTCATCTCACTGAATGATTTAAAGAAGCTCTCTATAATTAGTAACAAATGTACTGAAACCTAGAAACACACTGACACTTAGCAAAAGTACTCAATCCCACATACCATAGTATAAAGATCAAAGATTTTTTTCTACATTCGGGGGGTGTGTGTGTGTGTGTTTTTTTTTGGGGGGGGGGAGTGAGACACAGAGAGAGAGAAAGAGAGGAATAATACTGATCCCCATACTCATCGCTAGTTATGCACGCACTTATTTAGGGGGCTATTGAAGCAATCTCAACGTATAATTTCAGATTATAAACTAAAAAACATGTAATTGCAGATGTTAAGGTGCACAGGAAGGTTATTAACAACTAACTCTGCCACAAAAAAAAAATGACAAACGCCTCAATCTCCATTTTGATGCAGAACTTTCAATTTCCATTCACCAACCAAACTGCTAACACAAGCAAAAGTTGAAAAACAGAAGGTATTGGTTATGAGTGTGTGTCTTGTCTACATGCTAGCAACAACCATGACTCTAGCTTTATAAATTACACATGATAATACAGGTTTAGATTCACCCAATCAAAAGGCGTCACAAAAGACAACATCCAGAAAAAGCAAACAGAGTACACACTCAAACAAAGAAGCATAAACAAGATGCTTTAAGGCTAGAAAAATATATCCAAAGAATTATAAAGATAAAAGAGACAACTATAAAGCTAACAAAGCTTAGCTTACACTTGAAGTTGATTATATCATCATAGAGAGAGATGTTTGGACACAACTTAGAGCGGACTGTTAAAAGGAAGGGCACCAAAGAATAGTACAAAAAGACTCCATAAGTGTGTATGGAGCATTTAAAAGCTCTGAACTTAACAATTACAATATAGAAAAAGAAATTATCTTCCCTTAAAAATTTAGTCCTGAAATTTGAATATTAATTAGACCCCAAAATTTCCTGATAAGAGAAGTCTGAATGCCAAAGAAGTTTATTGTACCCCTCTTCAAGGGATCCGGAGAGTCATCTTCGACAGTATAAACAACTATTGTCAATCTACACCACTGACCACAAATTGCTATGCCAAGAATTCTTCATGAGCCTGGGAGATACTGTTATGAAGTGGTATGAGAGCCTCACTCCGAATAACATTTGGTCATGAGGCAAATGATTGAACAATTCATGACTTGGTTCATCACTAGTGGCAAAAAGCTGAAGGATGTCAGTGTGCTGCTCACACTAAAGCGAAAGGTGGGTGAGGGCCTCTAGCAGTACGCCACCCGCTATTGGGAAGAGGTGAATGAAGCCAAGGGATGCTCCGAGACTATGGCCGTTGTGATGTTCAAACTATTTAGTATTTTACTATGTTTATGAAAATAAATTTTGATAAACGTATGTCAAAAAAGAGATTATTCAAATAACATAACGGTTTTATAATTTTAACTTTAATATTGAATATTGTAGGAACATAAACGCCCTGAGAAGAGAAATGACATCCGTGCATGGTTTTCATGCCCCAGTCCAAAATTGCCAATATAGAGTGAAAAAGAAAGAAAAAATGGCTAACCATCTGTATTTTGTCACCATGTATGGCAGTAGATGAAAAACCGTTCTTGTATAACCACTGCTCTAATGCATCTGCTCCTTTTTTGTTTCCACAAAAACAAGAGTCAAAGCCTGCTCCATCAAGACAATACAGTTCTGATCAATCAACGAAATTATTAAGATATTCAATGGAAAATGTAGCAAGAAGAAAGACATTTAACAAATATGCAAAACTATGGTGAAACTGCTATTGTGCTTATTGTACCTTTCCATGGGTTCCATATGCCCTCTGGGCATTAAGGAGCCTCTTCAAATAATTTCTTTTGTCCATGTCCAAGACAAATTCAACTCTTTGAACAATCAGATCAATGTTGGATCCAACCCTTCCAACAGTTAGAAATATGTAGTTTGAAAGAAAATTTGGTGCAAGCTTCTGCAAGAATAAATTAATGCTGATGTCAAAACAACTAAGAAATTTTCTAAGAAAAGGTACGGAAGAGAGGTATGAAACCTATCATCAAACAATATTACTTTATTTATAAAACTAACACCCAACCACACAATTGCATCAAGTGATATAAAAAGCAATTTGCTAAAATTTTGCTCAATGAAAGAAAGATAATAGATCTTCTATTGCTTGCTCTCAAATTTCTTCTCCTAGTTGGGTAAAAAAAATTACCCACACAAGAAAAAACAACACTCACTGGAAATACGTAATTTTATGCAGGTAAAGTTAACTTCATTGTCACCAGACAACTGAGCAACATAAATCTGATTTTTGACCAAATAAAAGAAATATTTAGGGATTTAGTTAACAAACTGGTATATCAGTTGGAAATGTTGCACTGAAAAGCATTGTCTGCCTTGCACCTGGTGGAGGCATCTCCATCTGCTCAACAATTTTTATTATCTGGCGCGCAAACCCCATATCCAACATTCGATCGGCCTCATCCAAAGCCAAATACTTGACTTTTTGGAGAGAAACTTTGGCTCTCTCTATCATATCCACCAAGCGTCCTGGAGAGGCAACTAGGAAGTCAACACCCTGTTCCAAATAGCAAAGCTGCAAAAGCAGCATTAAGAAAGAACAACATCAGCAAACTCGGGAAAAAGTATAAGCTCAGGAGTTCCATAGATGGAAAAATTTTGGATGGTACACCGCAGTCATGGATTAAGCAACGGGTATAGAATTACTTGATCTAACTGATAATATGTGATAACAGGGGAAAATGACAATAAATGTTAATCTCAAAGAAAACAAAAGTACAACCAAGATAGAATCTTCCTTTTTAAAGAGAATCATAAGTTGCATCTATTAGCACCATGGTACAACACTAGATATTGAGTTATACAAATCCAACTACATAGGGTTACATGGTATTCTTCATGGAAACAGTTACCATCATTCACTTTGAGAGGCAATTGTCAACGTACATAATAAACGTACTCCAGTAATATGTAACTTGTACATGAATTCATTACAATAATGCGGGCTCAATAATGATTACTAAGAGAAAAAAGAAAAATGGGAGCTCATAAGTCTTCTGACATTGTGATGTTAACTATAAAAAGCAATATCTTCTTGATCTGGCTATACCACTATCCTCATTGGATAAGAGAAAGAAAGGCTCACCCATCTTTCCTCAAATCTAAGACATAGAAGGAGGAGAAGGAATACCAAAAAATAATTGACACACAAACTTCCTACCCTAATTGATTCAGGAAGACAACCAAATACCTCAAAAAGAATTCCATCTAAGGCCATGACATTACTGGCCTCCTCAACAGATCTCATCTCCACAAAGGCAAACTTCTTCTCATGGTTTATGTAAACATTGACAACAACATCCCCTGAACATCACCGAAAGAAACACTTATAGCATCTTAAGAAAGGAATTTAGATATGCAGATGAAATAAAATTGGATACTGAAAAATTTCATCATTGTCCAGCCAAACTATCAAGTTTAAGGATGACCCTAGTTTGCAAAAAGGATTTTTAACAGAAACTGACTATCATGCTCTGATTTAAACCGTTTCTAAGAATAAAGATAAAATGATATTATAATTTAATTAGTAAGCCCAACAACATAGGCTGATAAAATTTGTCTCTATGTTCCAATCTGGTATGTCTCTATATTCCAATGTCCCCATAGTTGTTTGTGAGTGTAAAATCTACACCTATAATGCTTCTGGTACAAGTAGTAGCTTATCCTTTACCATCAGCAACATCTACACCTATAACAACTGCTACCATCTGAGGCACTCTGGACCATATACATAACACAAATAACATAATAGTTAACAGTGCACTGTGCAAGTAGTTAACAGTGCAGAACCATATACTAGTAAATTATTAAATAACTGTATCAATAAATAAAGATGAGCAGAAATGGACATGCAGAACGAATATGTATCATTAAATCCAATCCAATTAAACACTAACTTGCAAAATTCAGTTCAGCGGAACATCATCTTGTCATGATAATCGTGAAAAAAAAAATTCATATACCTGAGAAAGAGCTTCCTACCTAAGCTCTTCTAACATTCAAGTTAAAAAAAATCACATGAGAACAAAAATTGAACACAAAGAGACATATTAAAAAAGCCCCAAGTTCAATAATGAAATGTAAATCAAAGATTAAAATTCATTATAATTTATTTTAACAATCCATTACACAAGGGGGAAAAGATCAAATAGTATTTCAAATTCTGTGAAACATGTGTTTCTTGATTACCATGCTAATGGTAACTGAGATGTTGGACAGTGAGAAAACCAAAGAATTGCTTTACCTCTTAGACACATCAGAATCCTTGGTGGATTCACCCACGGCTCCTTCCAGCTCTTTTATTTGTAGTTTCAGCTCTTTTACCAACTCGACATTCTGATGAAGTTGAACAACAATATTTTACATAAAATGTAATTAGACCGAAATCGAAAATTGTAGTCAGCATCAACCTGATCAGATGCCCGCAGTTCATCAACAGTTTTCTTCAGTTGTTCATAGTCATGCTTTGCTCTATCCAGCACATCTTTGTGTTGATCGATTAACTACACAAATCAGAAGAGAAAAAAAATGCATCGATCACATAAGCAACTCTCGTAACTGGTTCAACATCATAGGTGTCAAGAACATAAATGAACAAATATAACCTCCTACGTTTTCTTATAGTTCTCCTGAACCGTAAATGCCTTTTGTTCGATCTCTTTGAAGGTAGAGAGTAAATTATCCTTCTCCATAACCTGTTTCTATTTGATTGTATTATGACCTATTTGTATTTGAACTTTGGAACGGTTGACTTTTGTGCTGCTTTTATCAATGTCCTGACAAGTGGGCACCATACATAAGTGGAACTGTTATTTGTAGTACCTAGTGTATTTCATATTCAGAATACACTCACCGACTGAATCTTGTTAACCTTCAACTTTTGGGCTTTTAACCTTTCCCCGCCTACATTTTCTATCATACTCTGAAGCTCTAAAGCTTAAAAATACAGAGATCATAGGCACATTAGGGAATTTTTGCCAAAACAAGAAGACATAATGCGTGCATGCTATAAACAGACATAGTTTTTAGGAGCCACCAACGATATGTAAATTGGTCAAACTGGTCAAGATCACCAAATTGTGAGGTCAAACTGTCAATCTGCCATAAATAAAGAAATTTAATGCATCAGACTCTCCTTTCCTAAGATAGTACTAATTGATGTGGTTAACGATATAGTCTAGAATGTCACCTCCTTTTGACTGTTTGCTAATTCCATCTCCATGTGGGAAATTGCTTTTTCGGTAGCCTGGTAATGTCGCACAGCATCAGCAATTCTTTAGCGTGTATTACTTAATTTTTCAATCATCACAGAAAGCTCATTTTCAGCACTAGCAACGACCTCTTCAGAAATGGTGGAAGCTCAGATAGATGTCCCCATCTTACCACCACGTGGCTTACTTCCCCCATCACTTATAGCACCAGATTTTTTCAAAGAGGGCACCATCAAGTGTTCTTTTTCATTCTATATCTATAGTTACCTGCGCAAGTCCTTGTGCAAATCAAACCCACTATGTGCAACACAGTGACAATTATAATTTCAAGTGGAAGGAAAAATGACACAAGGGCTAGGCTCTGGAAACATCAAGCTTAATATGTTGGCAAGGGCTGAGTAAATTTTATTGACTTTACCCACTTGAATTGATTTGTCACCCAAAGCCAAATTCTTTGAGTTAGGTGTTGGAAACTTCATTTTAACCAGTAGTAACAAATATGAACATAAAATATACAACAACCATGTTAAGCATCACTTTTTATGAAATATCCACCGAAATCATGAAAGTTGCAACACCAAGGTTTTTACTGCGAAGTAAATCCACGCAAGCTTGTGATGTAGCAGGTGTTTCCACAACAATATAATCAAGTCCAGGGCATGTTGTTGAGATGGTAACATCATATTTTGCTGCAAGGACAAACATAATCAAAGAAGGGAGTGAATTCAAAGTTAGGGTACAAGAAAAATCAGTATTATATGCTATCACGAGAAATAGTGATCACAGAAACTACACAGAAACTACGACTCAGGTGGCATGTCTGCATTAGTTGAGGTGCCACCCAAAGCACGTTGCATTTGAAGTTGCATCTGCAAAAGTTGTTGCATCATCCATTGCTGGGATTCTTTAAACTTCTTCATTGTCAAACTTCTAACATTTCAGGTATTTCGTCTCGATCATCATCTTCACTGTCGATCATATCATCCTCGACACCATCAGCATCATCATCAGAATCAAAGAATTGGGTGACATGCATAGGAACGGGTTCCCCATGGTGTACCCACATCGTGTAAGAGGTCATGATTTCCTTTCACGTACAAATGATTTTTCACAGTTTCATCATCATGCCATTCTTCATTCATGCAATTCCTACATGGACATTGAATTTTTCCATCTCGACTCGAACGTTCCATTGCAAAATTGACAAAATATTTGACCCCACCAATGTATTTCGAATCCAACCCATACCTAATTGTCATCCAACTCTTGTCCATAATTGATAGCCTACAAAATCACATATTTATCAATGTCATGTACCAAACATCATGCAAACTATGCTGTCGACTCCTTCCTATTTTGGTAGGTGGTCCTATCCCATTCAAGAATGCACATTCTATATCATAGGAAGCATCTCTTACCACTTCGTACATCTCTAACTAAAATCCGACAGCATCTTCCCATAGTTCTCCAAGTACACGACATAGACTAGGTGTCGTTGCTACACCCGTCTAGTATGTACACAGAGAACAATGGGATCTGCCACACAGAATATCAAAGAGATGTAACAAGTTAAGCGGTGAGATACTAACTATAATATAGACTTATGCATTCTCAAACTGTCCGAAATTGGTCAATTCAAGAAATCTCCATCGGTAAAGAATACTCTTTGTCCGATGTGGATTCTTGAACGGGTACTAAGGTTTCATGCATGCATGCATGCATAGAATTGAAACCTTAATTTATATTAAGGTTTCAATAAATTACCGAAATTCATAACTCGCCAATTCCTAGAAATAAAACGAAACATCAAAAAAACTAGAGACCAATAATAAAAAAGTATAAATTAAATTCACTAATAAAAATAATCATATATTTTCACTCAAAATAACAAAAATAGTTTTGTGTATCTTACGTGTACACACTTAACTTAAAGCGTAATACCTTGAAACTGGAAGATGATAAATGCTAGATAATCAAATCAGTCGCTACCCATGTCAAGGATCTTCAAAGGCAAAATATATTTCTTCTAGGCATTCCAACGAACACCTTGTATGCACCTATATTTCATAGATTTTTTTTGGCATCATAGCCGTAGAAAATAACTAAAAGTATGCCAAAGACCAATAGAACTGTAGGCCACTGACCAACAGAACTAAATGGCATGACCAACATAACTGATTGGCATATAGGGACGGAGCTAGGATTCTATCATCGAAGGGGCCAAACTTTATACACAAAAACTCATACCAACAACGTATAGCAGATTTATATTTCAAATTTCAAAATTCCAATGCATAAAAAAATAGCAGCCAAAACAAGATAATTTTATATAAACAAAAATACTAAGAAAAGAAGAAAACAAACAAAATAAATAGTTTTTTTTAATGCATGTCAAATGATTTTTTTTGTCAAAGTTGTGTTCGACATTCTATTCTATCATAGAGTTCATTATGATCTACATATGAGGGTTTTTCTGTAGAGGGTCTATCTCTATAACCTTATTCACTGAACGAAGAATGGGAATTGGGAGTGAGCTAGAATGATAAAATTATTTTGTTAACTTTCCATTGCATATTTTAAAGAAAGAGTTGAAGTGGTTGACAAATTTTACTATAGATAGAATATTGTCATAGAAAGAGTAAGATAATATTTTATCGAGTCTTGGTGGGTGGACCACAGAATATATATACTTATTAAGTATATACTAGAGACCAATACTCTTAAGATGACAAAACTCTCTTTGTACTGAGTATATAGTGGGGGCTTCAAAAAACACAGGGGGGCCATGGCCACCTCAGGCCATTGAATAGCTTTGTCACTCTTAGCATACTCGAGAGAAAAATCTTCAAGTCCAACCAAACTTTTCACCCTCCCCTGGGGACCAAATTATACCCACTTCTCACCTAGAAGGAAACCTCACAAAGAAAACCAGGCAATGTACATTTGTGTGGCACACTATTCAATTTTGCTAAGATAAGCAAGACAAGTATAGTAGCAATAAGGCTTCAAATATTCTTTTAAGCCTTTTGCGGCATAAACTGTGCAACTGAAGGTTTTCTACGAGATGTTACGAAAACAAGAAATCTAGAATTTTTTAGGATGGACACAATTGTTCATAGTCTTTCATTATGGTTTCTTCCACCGATTTCTTTTGGTTTCCTTCGTGATTTTCTTTAAATTTGATGTGATATCAATTTATAAAAAAAAAAGAGCATAAGGGCATCTTATAACTTGGTATTCAATTCAGAATACAAAGATTCAACCAAGGTAAACATGTTGAATCAAAGCCCTGGGTTTAGGAACAGGTAAATACCCAATCTTAACCCCAACCTTATCATTTTAAGTGAGAGTTTCTGCTGACCCAAACCCAACCCATGTTCAGGGAGAAGCATGATTCAGTCAATCTCTAACCATCCTGTACTTTTGTAAACCAAACTCAATAGTTCTAAGTGAACTATAAATCAATCTATGCAAAACTAATTGGTAATGACTAGAGAAGTGCTTAAGCATATTAATCAACTTTTAGTGGTCATAATCTTCCAATGTGAAATACAAGCTCTCTTTACACCCTCCCTTACACGAGACCCAAGCTTGCACGTGAGGCTAACAAACAAACATGCATACTAGTAAATTCAAATGGCTAATAAACTTGGCCCAAGGACCACCCAAGGCTCAATTCTAGCATATGCCACCCAAGGTTCAGCTCTAATACCAAGTCAGAGCATCTAACCCAAAACTAATTGAAAATAAGTGTAGAGATCCCTTAATCATGTTGACGTACCTTGGGTAGCTCTAAGCATCTAATGTGAGATACAAGCTCTCCTTAAGCATTCAACTTAGGTGTGCAAGAATTCCTATCCCCATAACCCCACAAACCATTTTACAGATGCACAAAAAGATTTAGTAGCTTAGTTGTTTTCTTACATACACTCTTATCTTTCTGAAGGATCCCTGTATTGAAGTATATCTAATTAAATAAATTCATTTCATGGTTAAGAGTTGCTGTAGTTTGAATCACTAGTCATGCTTGGTTACACAGGGTATGATATGGAACCAAACTAGGTGGCACTTGACAATTACATAGTTTTTGCATTTGGTGGGGACAAATAAAACACTAAGAAGCTATAATTATGGAGGGACAAATGAAAAACAAAATCTCCAAAAATGGCAGCAAAATGCATGTTATATATAGAAAAAACTAAAATAAGCCAAACCGGTTGTAGTCACCAACAACACATCTTCCTTCAATTGTTTTCAGTCCAACCAAAAATTAGATATAGCAGAGAGAGAGAGATAGTATGTACTTGTGGGTAGCCTAGTAGTCGTCGATGCTCGATGGAGCTCTGATCAGTCGAGTCACTTTAGCTTTTCTTCCACTTCGATTGCACACGAGATTGCGAGAATGAGAGAGAGTAAGAGATTTTATGTGTGTGTATGCGTGTGTGAGTGAGAAACAAAGAGACTCACATTGGAGATGGTTGTGATGTTAAGATCCATAGTCGCTAAGACGAAGAGACAAAGGCGCAGACGACTCCAACAGGCAGAGTCGAAGACGAAGAGGTAAAGATGGGAACTCATGTTGGAGATGACTGTCATTAACAAGGAGGAGAGGCGCAGACGAAGAGGCAAAAGCTAAGATGATTTAGGGCAAAGGCAGCCTTTTGATCAATTCCCGCTATTTTATTTGCTTTAATAACTAAAATTTATCAATCCTTGCCATCATGTTATCTAATTGAATTTAAATGTTAATTTGATAATTTGAACGTTAATTTTACGAATTGAGTGTTTATTGAATGAAATTGAAAAATTATTTTATTAATTTAATGTTAACTAGTTGAATTTAAATGTTAATTTGATAATTTGAATGTTAATTTGATGAATTGAGTCTTCATCGAATGAAATTGAAAGTTTATTTGATTAATTTTGAATGTTAATTTGATAATTTGAATGTTAATTTGACGAATTGAGTATTAATTGAATGAAATTTAAAGTTTATTTAATTAATTCTGAA